AAAAAGTTCTTTATGCGATAAAGAGGTTTCAGAGTAATTAGTTACCTCGTTATCAAATATTATAAGAGCATAATTTTTTTTTTTTTTGGTGATTTGTACTTCTATCGTGTCGCAGAAGAGCTTTCTTCATTTGACCATTCTTTCTCTTGATAAATTTTTTTCTTCTTTTTCATGAACTTTACATATCATCTCATAGGTCATTAATAAACTCATGAATTCTTCAAATGAAAGATTGTTTAAGTTATTTTCTTCTTGAATTATGATAATCCTTACATTTTAGTTCTTTGAAAGTGACTTAAGGATCTTACATGATCGATCATGATTAGAAAAAAATTTGCTAAAAATATTTAATCCACTAATAAGATTCAAGAATCGAGTAAATATATCATCAATGGATTCTTTTGGCATCATCATAAACTACCTAAAATCAAGTAAACTTATGCCATTGTGGATAATTATCAAAGTATGCCAAATATTAAAAGTAGTTTTATAAATATTATAAATAAATATTATATTTAAAACATATAAAATATTTATATATTTAATACATGTTTTTGAAATATGTGATGTCAAGATTTTCTTTATACTTATACAATTTATGAAAACTTAACTTTACATGCATTTTAAAATCATTACTTATTAATGTAAAATGTTTAAATGTCAAATCCTTCATCATGCTTATATAGTTCACAAAATATCAATTTCATATATATTTCAAATCATAACTTCTTAATAATATTTTTCAAAATAAAATATCTCTAAATATATTTTTATAATAAAAGTATAAGTATAGCTAATGTCACATATCAAAGCATAAATATTATAGTCTAAAGACTATTATTAACTTTTCATAAATAAGCATAATATAGTTAAGGATTAAGTGCAAGTATAACTAACATGTCGAAGGGATAGTCATAATAGTATTAATAGTTATGGCCATGTTATATTCTCATAATAAGATCTAGAATCATGTTTAACCCCAATAATATAGGTAACACGTAGCTCAGGATTTAGAAGAAACTAGTTTCTGAATATATATCAATATTTAACCTTGGGTTCAGATCATCATCATACTCACTAGATAATTGTTATATCATAAAAAATATAGTAATTATTTTTTACCAAACTAAGAGTTTAGATAAATCTTTTAACATATTTTTTTTAAAATTATATATTTTTAATTATTTTTATATATAATATTGAATGGATATTTTTATATAATCAAGATAACATAAACCAATAAATACTTATAACATGCAAATAGCTATTCAAACCATATGCTTTTCCAAATCATCAACATAGATATTCTTTTACAATGCTTTTAAATAATAAAATGACTTATAATTCAGGTAAATCATAAATATTTATAAATAGTAAATGCATGCATTAATATTTCTAAAAATAGATTAAACCACCATCAGATGTCATATATACTTGATATAAGCATCTTGTGATCTTTTCTCTCATTTTCTTTTTTTTTTCTCAAACCATTATTTTTCTCCTTTTATTTTCTTCATAATATAAATATTTAATTACTTAAGAACATCATGATTCATTAATCTATAATTCAAAATATGAATATAATTAATGAAAATATAAGATAATTCAAAATCATACATAAAATAATTTTCTTGAATTTTATCTATCTAAATCCATTTGGCATAAAAAAAAAAACCTTCATAATTTTTTCGCTTAATTTTGTTTTCTCATTTCCTTTCTTTTCTCTCACTCCTCAATTTCCCTCTCGTGAACAATTTTTTTTATTTTTGTATTTTTTTTCTTTTTTCTTTCTCATCCTTTCCTTCTCTTCTTCTTCTTCTTCTTCTTCTTCTCCTACTTTCCTTTCCTTCCCCTTCTTCTTTCTTTAATTTTTTCACTCTCTCACACCCGATCCTCTATTAGTTTTTTTCTTCTTTCTTTTCCTCTATCTTCTTTCTCCCTTCTCTTCTCCTTTCTATTCTTCTCCCCTTCTCTTTTCCCCTCTTCTTCTTCTGTTCGCTCTCTCTGTTCTTCCTTTCTCTTCCACAAGCTCCCACGCAGCAGGCAGCCTCTGTTTTCCTCGTGAGAGGTGCAGAGAGGCAGACGCTGGAGAAGAAAACCCTTTATTTTATTACTTTTTTTAATTTAATCTCTAACAGTTTAATATTTACATTTTGTTCCTTAAAAAAATCTGAGATTTTACGATAGACTATCTTAGTCAACAAAGCCCTTAATAAGATTCAAGACTGATTTAAGACGTTTATTATCTCAGGCTGGAAAGACTATCCTTATCAGCTCGGTCCATAATACCATATTCTCATACATGTCTTAAATGAATACTAGAGTTTCTAAGAGGATTACTAAAAGAACGAACAGAACCGCTAGAGAGTTCTTCTGAATCATGCGGACCACAAGAACAAAATGAACTTGATAGGATGGGACACTATCACTAATCCTAAAGAAGAAGATGACGACTATTTGTGTCCAACAATTTACTTCCCTGTTGAACAATAAGCATCTGTTGTGGGTGAAAGTCCTCAAAGCTAAGTATGGGCTCCATGGCACCCTAACAAAATTCATGAGAGCTCTTGGAACTCGAGGAATCTTTGTCAACTCATGAATGATATCTATTCTGGTTTCAAGAAAAAGTATAATGTCATGTTTTGGCTGAGGGTTGACTGATACTATTATTCCCTTCAAGTCATTGGTCTACCTTTTGTCAATGCTGATAGTGCATCTGTTTTCATTTTCTATTGCTGAGCTAACTAGTGACTTTAAGGAGTTTGATGACTGCATATAATAGATGTTGCCTTACTAGTGGAGCAGTAGTTAGGTGCCCCTTTGGATAAGGAGGTGTTCCTTCCTGGCAGTTGTTGCAAAGCTTTGAAACCCTACTGCTTCTGATCTGCTCACATATGGAAAGCATGAAGGCAGGTCACCAAATGTTACGTTACCTCTTGCTCAAATCCTATAACTTCTCCTAATCCCTGAAACCCTAAGGCCTCTTCGTCTGAAATCTCACCCTTGAGATAGATCTTCATAGCTTACCAGCCTAATCAAATTTACATTCAAATCCATCTTATGGATGTGTGTGCCTTTCCCATCTCCTCCTTTCTCTACAAATCATGTAGCTCAAGATGATTTCTACTCTCCTGATCTTTTTTCTTTGGCTTTTACTTCATTTTGAACTTGAGTTGACTTCAGCACTCGATCCAAACTGCTTCAAACTCTTGGTGTGCTGCTAAAAGCAATTCTTTTGCCTCGCATACTGATCTCCTGCATTTGTTTTGTCTCTATGAATGCCTTATCTCCATATCTTCGGCCTGTATCTTCCTCCCTCCATCCAAGCTGATGGAGGTTGTCCTGCGAAGTGCCCAAGGGAATGAGTGAAGCTGCCAGCATGATCTAGCTCAGAGACCAAAACCACTCCCCGAGCACCATTCTGCCATCTCTATTGGAGATGCCAATGAGTGAAATAGAATTGATGTCAGTCCTGGCTAGCTAGGTCATGCTCTGGCAGCTTCATTTGTTCCTTGTTGGACACAGGGAGCAGATCCACCACTCTCATCACAGACAAGAACAGGGAGGAGAACAGCAGTGTAAGCACGCTTTTTCTTTCCTTGCGCTGTTTGACATGGCCATGCATGCTCCTTGACCATGTTTATCCATCGATTCTCTTATCAGCAGGCGCACTACTCCACAGCAAGAAGGATCTTCTTTGCCTGCCCTTTCCATGCTACTCTTCTTATCTCTGTCTGTTGAAGGATGCCTTTCGTCATTATCGTATTTCTACAACACTGGGATCTAATGTTTGTGCTAATATTCCTTCAAGCTATATTTCCATGGATTCTTCACTTCTACGTTGTCTTTGTATGTGTCAAAAGTATACCCGAAACCTTGACAGGATACAAGTTGGATTACACAAGCTGATATTACTAAAGCTTCACCTCCACCATGGTGCAGTCACTGTTGCCCACACAAAATGAAGGTGAATGTAGCGTGGATCTCCATTGTGCACTGGGTTTCATCTATGTAAGTGCTAACATTTTGCTAAGATCAGGACTTACCTTGGTGTGCATATGCATATACATGAAATAATCAATGTACATTATTTTGATTTTAAAAAAATCCTGTTGAGATAGACATACTCTATTATCAGAAAATGAAAAAAATATGAAAATTCAAGTGAATGTGCTAAAAGAAGCACAAGTATTATATTGACTTAAAACAAAATGGAACAACGTGACTTTGGATAACAAAAGTTTGAAAAAAGAAGAAATATATAATTATATGAATAAGATGAGCTGATTATTACAAACTAAATGTGCCAAAAATAAAGAAATTTTCTGCTCACTTTCATAGTTCTTTTGGTTTGGAAATTTGTTAACATTTGCTTATTACTTGTCTGTTCACTTCAATGATCTCTGTTTTCAGGTAACTGCAGGAATTTGAATTTTGGTTCTTGTTTTTGGATTATCTGTGATATCAGAAATGGGTCATAAACAACAGCCATGTTCAATCCTCTTGGAAGGTTTGGAGTGTGTTGTTATTCATGGCAATGAGCATTTGCAGTCTTATTGGTGGCTGAAACTACTGCATGGATTCTTGATGACATCCATTCCTAAGTAGTAAGTAAATATCAATTCTGATACATCCTGGAATTGGCAGGATTCCTTGGCAAGCACAGGATGTGTTACTTGTAGGCATTTCACCTGGATGTTAACAGAGAAGCTTGGCCTTTGAAAGATCTGAGTTGGGAGGTAGATCATCTGTGAATCAAATTCTGCAACTTTGAAAGATATAATAGACTGTTGTGCTTGCACATACTTGCAACGAAGCTTACCATTGTCGCCAATTGATGAACGAATTGTGCTTGACATAATGGTCATGGAAGCATAGTTGATTACCATTTGTAAGGAGGATTGATCTGATCCATATCATAAACATCAGATTAAATACTCAGGGATGTTAAGCAGGTGAGTCTTCAAGGATGTCACTTTTAGCCAACAACACAGTCTCAATTCTCATAACTGATCGAAAGTTTTCAGATCTTAACCAATAGAAAAAATCGGTGACAATGCATTAAAAGTAAAAAGACAAAAAAAAAGAGGTAAATTCTACGACAGAAAGAAAGCAGCAAACTTTGTGTCTCGAGTACAAGGAGATAAAGCATAGATCATAAGTTCAGACAGCCATCATCATCCGCGAGAACTCCTCAAAATTCACTTGTCCATCGCCGTCGATGTCAGCTTCCTTGATCATCTGGAGAACCTCTTCATCTGTCATTTTCTCCCCGAGATTGGTCATCACATTCCTCAGCTGCACACAGTAAGTTCATGGTTACTCGAACAACCAATAGAGTCAGATTCTAAATTCTCGAAGATCAGTACTGTTTTGAAGTTTTGATGCATCCCAGACAAAAATTTTCTTTGACGAGTATTCTGAAATGTGAAAACCAGATAACTTCAAGCCATGTACGAGTTAGCACCGACCGACGTTTACCTCACTGGCTGAGATGTATCCATTTTGATCTTTGTCAAAGACCTTGAAGGCTTCTCTTAGTTCCTCCTCAGCATCGGTCTCCTACAACTCCAAGAATAGATAAAAATGTCATTTCTTATCTTGAAACCAACCAGTTTGATTAAGTTGCAGACGTCCTCTATGTTTCTCAATTTACTGAATTCTAATTACTCATCTTGGATGCTTCTATCGATACCTTCATCTTTCGGGCCATTAGATTCAAAAATTCTGCAAATTCTATGGTCCCATTGCCATTGATATCGACCTCTCTGATCATATCTTTTAGCTCTTGTTCAGTTGGATATTGTCCCAATGATCCAATGACCGTCGCCAGTTCTTCCAGCGTAATGCAGCCTATCATGCCATCACGTTAAAAGGAGAAAACTCAGTGCCAAATCAACTCAGAGATTACAGAGTAAAATACAGAGCAGAAAGGATTCATCCCAAGCATTAAAATGACCATAAGAATGATTCTCTCTTTGATGACGTGAAATTAAACTCTAACCTCGATAAGCACATATTACAACGTAGCATAATAACTTGAGAACTGAAAGCATCTGCAAGCAAGTTGTCAATTTTGTTCGGTTTGATATAGGGAAGCCTCCCGATAATAAGAATGAATTGTTTTCAGAAGAAAAATCATTCAGGAGAAGAAGAGAAATTTTTGCTTGGAGGTAAGTTGCTTAATTCGCCATGACTTGAAGAAAAATACTCATGCTTTGAGAGAACATATAAGGAGAGTCGTGATGCGACATGAATATGGATTCAGCATTTATTTTTGCTCAAATAAAGAAAGCATACAATCGTAAAAAGACCTTTTTTTAATTGTTGTTGCATTTTTGTTAGACCTGATCAAGTTAGAACGTTCATTAGTCTCAAAGACAAAAGGGCTCTAGATTATTAGAGCAAGTTCTAATCAACCAAAAACAAAGTTGAAATACCAATGAAAGAAAAGCATATGTCAAGTATAAGAACCAACCCACAAAACATGCAGAAGCTTTAACGAACAACACACTAAGAGAACCAAGAAAGGAAATGAAAACCGAAAACAACATGAAAAGGTTGGTAGAAGAAGAAGAACAAACCATCTCCATCTTTGTCAAAGAGGCAGAAGGCTTCCTGGAGCTCAGATATCTGATCAGTTGACAGGCGAAGATCCATGAAAACCTACTACCCCAGAAACCAACAGGAGACAAGAAGGAGGAAGGATGTTCTAAGGTGTGATGAAGGTGGAGGAAGAGCTGAAAGCCTCTTGTAGGCTTCTTAGATTTGGTAGAGATGGGCAAGGGAGGAGGAGGAGCTTTAGCTTTGGCTGAGTAGCCTTGGCTGTTCAAAAGGCTGGTCAAATGACCCACCCTTTTGCAATACAATGCATTATTTTGTTGCAGTAGAAGTCCAAAGGCAAGTAGAGACTGTACCACCAAACTAAAGTGATATCTCTAATTCTATTTGATCCAAGTTGCTCCACCCTGGTCGCTATTCTTTTCCTTTCCAGCCCAGCTCACAAAGAGAGACTCCATCACCTCCACTCCCAACCCTCATCTTCTTTGTTGCTCATCATCCTTCTGCTTTCTTTCTTTAGCTCATCCCCTTGTCTTCTTTCTCTTTTACACTTTTGCTTTTTTCTAGGAATCGATAATTGCACCCTCCTTGCATTCGGACAGGAAGGAGAGAGAAGAGTCTCTCATAAATGAAAACTAGTACAATTCAAGAGAGTTGGGGCACGTTACCATTGTTTAATATCCACTTCTCACTGTTCCTTCTTACAGTTAGGTAGGTACTCTGACCATGCTAGATTTCTAACTGAAATTTAGTTGGCCTAGAGCTGAAATCGAATCAAGGTCGGTTTGATGATGTCTGAATCAAATTATAGATATCAAATCGTATCCTTACAAGTGGAGAGATAATGCATATTGCAAGAAAATAAATCTTTCCATTAAAATTTATAAACTCAGTGAGATATTATTATTATTTATCGTAACTGAAAGACAAGAAGAAAACATGAGATCTGTAGCAAAAGGATCAGTACTGATCCCGTTCAGCGCAAAGAGATGCCAAGACTTGAACACCTGCATTCTGTCTTCCCTTTCATCATCAGGTGAGAGGCATCATGTTCCACCTTTATCTTTTCCATGATTCTTTTCTTTGTTTGCTTCTCTTCTCTTTCCACAACACCCTCCGCGCTTGCTTAGCCCATACGCGAACGGGGAAGGGGGAGAAGCCGGCGGCGAGGATGGGGGCTGGGGGGGTGCGGACGAACAAATGTTCACGGCCCAGCCTCTTAAGGCCCTCATAGCCTACCAAGTGTTCTTAATGGATGAACAAATGGGACCCGCAGGCACCAAACACCAAATCCGCGGGTTACGCAAGTGGCGACGAAGAAACAGGTGCTTGTACTTTTATTTGGTAGTTGGGCGGTTGGCACGTAGTAATAGTCCCACCGACGCCGCACTCGATTCTTACAAATATTTTTATTTATTTATTTATTTATTTATTCTGATAATACCACAAAATCATTATTTTTTATGTATATTTTCTTTTTTTTCCTTATTGGTGCATTTGATTTGGAGCTACAAAATTACATATAAATTCCTCTAGAATAAGTTTTTTTTTCTATATGAATAAATATTAGCTGTGACACAGGTGAGATACTAAATTCTAAGCCACAATTTGTTATGATATCATGACAAGGATTTTAATATAATAATCATTAATTCCAATTTTTTAAGTAGATAGGGAAGACCTTAATCTATAACAATATATATATATATATATATATATATATATATATATATATATATATATATATATTCTCGATCGATTCACCCATATGTGTGCGAGAGCATTTAAAAGTATCAGTTAAATCATGCATCATATATGAAAGACCTCAATGGCTAATAATTCTAAATAGTATTAGAGTAGAAGGTTTTACATTGAATAGTTATCATGTATATATCCTCGTCAATCTAAGTTTCATGTGTTCAATTTCAGCTAGTCTACTACTTACACGTCTCGTCTACAAAACTAAGGTTTAGATGGAATAACAATAATAAAAAAATATATAAATTGATTATGATTGTTTTGCATATCCAAATCATCTCTTTTTTTTTCTCTATTTCTTTTCTAAATATCACTATCTGAAGAACAAGAAGACGATTCAGTTGTTCTACCAAATTAATTTTGAATAGGTAAGAGTAGCATGCATTTTTTATTCTTTTAGATGGATATAGAGAGAGAGAGAGAGAGAGAGAGAGTAGGGACAACTGTAGGTAGTGGTTGTACTTTTGGATTATCTCATATGCTTCCATCATGTGAGAAAAAAAAAGTCCCTTACAATTGTCAACCTTCTTATCCCACTATAATATATTTATCCTTGCATGCATTGCGTGGTGGTAGATCAGATGCATTTAAGCTTTCACGGCCGACCACGTCCAAGTTTCTAGATCACTGTTGCATGTACAGATCACAGCAACGTACGTACATTGCATGCATGCATGCATGTGAGATCATCGGCCCGCATGCCACCGCCACAAATTAAGTCACTCCAACTACAGGGCCACCTCACACTGCCACGTATTCTCGCCAGCTTGTGAGACCCCCGGGCCCCGCACCGGTTAAGGCAGGGAAGCCTGCAAACCCAGCCTTCGGCTTTGCTGGGTTGCAATCTTAGGGTTAATCTTGTTATCGAACTCGAATTTTGGAGAATTTGTATAATTTGGATGTTAAATCTTAGGGTTAATTTTCTAATTGGATAAAAAAAATACAAAAGTATAAGATTAATTTGAAATAAAGAAAAGGTGTGTGCTTTATTTAGAACGCGGATTTCTGGTTGATTTGGGATTAGGGTTTTAGATATGTCACCTTATGTTGAGATCCTCACCTAAAACCATCGAAACCGGTGGTTTTGGACGATGGCCACGAAAGGAGGCAGGCTAAGGAAACATCACATCAACAGTATGATGAGATAACTTTCGTATTCTTAAATCAAAATAATATGATGAGATCACATAAGAATAGCATTAGTATCTAAGAATGCTGAAATTAAAGAATTAAAATTTTTATATGTTTAAGAATTTAATAGATTCCTTTTAGCATTAGATTTATATGGAGGTATTGTATATTGGGATTATACTTCTACCGACTATAGTTTATCACGGGCTATATGTCACTATTTATGGTAGAAGAAGAAGGTTTTGTTTTCACTATATAGACTCTTGACAAATAATACAATAATAATATGAAAGAAAGATACGTGAGAAAAACATCACATTTATATTATGAACATTTAATCTAAAAATAATTTAAAGACATAATATATCTAAGATCTATTAAATCTATCCCCTCTCATTCGAGGAGGCGATGGAGAATTCATGTATTTATAATTTTATTATTTTATTACAATATATCGTTATGATATCATTACAAGATGAATATATGGAATGAAGATTATGAGAATCTTTTATCAGTATCATATCTTAGTATATTTTTAAATTACAACATTATGGTGACATTAATTAGGTGGCATTAGTATCTCCGAATATCAAATTTCTCGGCTTAGGACTTGGTTACTTTCCCTATGAGAATCAAAATTTTCATATGTTTAAGATTTCAATAGGTTCCTTCAAGCCATAGATTTATTATTTTTTGAAATAATTTATTATGTATCTGACCTCTATAGAAAAGCCCTTACTTTTAAAATTTTTATAGTAAAAAACGAATATGTGAAAAAAAATCAGACTCCTCTCTTCTAAATCAGAGAAGGATCATGGCAAGATAAAAAAAGTTCTTATTTGTGCAGCTTCAAGTTCCTCTTATTTGTGAAGCACCAATCTTACAGCATATAAACACACTCTAATCGAGCAAAGAAGAGGGTCATATCATCTTTATCATCTTTACCATGTTGGATTGTCCTTTGATCCTGCTTGCTACACTCTAGTAAACCTGGTATGAGGGCACCCAAAAGGATTCAAAGAGATTTCATTCTCAATTTATTCCTCTAGCACAGGAAAATAGTTTAATAAAACTTCTAAAGTAGCTCTTATTCTAAGCACATTCCAATATAATTGCTAACAGTAACAAGAGAGAGATGCAAGAATGATACTGACAGGAAGAGATAAAAAGAAGACAAATTGAGATCTTTATATAGCTCAGTGATGTAGTGAGTATAAATTCCACACATTTTGTATGAGATTTTATAAAAGAAAGCATATTTCAAGTTTTGTATGCTCACTATTATTATTATTGTTGTTATTAAGATTAACTACCAGAAATCCTAATACAGCCACACAAGAGACTTACATTTCTATGCATGTAGTTATCTCTCCTCCCATAGAGATAGTCCCTCAAAGCTACTCTATTTCTTCTTGCAGTTTTACCTTGCCTGTTCTCATGCACTTCTTCCTCAATTCTCATCAAGACATGTTGGATCTTCTGCAGTTTAAGCTCCAACCTTCCAACCTTCTCTGATCGCAACTTTACCTGTTCTGAAATTTGCCTTCTTTCAGCGTCGCATTTATCTTCAGGTCCAATTGTTCTATCATCATGAGAAGAGCAGTCTTTGGCCATCATTTTCAATCTGGAATTGTCATCGATCAGCTCCAACATGGATCCTTCGGCCTCCTTCAACTGTTCTTTGATAATATCGTGCCCATAACTTGCAGGGAGCTTTTCCTTTTGAGAGCTCATCCTCTTGTTCAACTCCCCTATGTTTCTTTTAAGGTCTGATAGTCTTTGTGCATCAGAATCAAGTCTTCTGAGGACTCTCTTGTTCCATTCCTGTTTGGATTCCAAAGATCTTTGGTGTAGATCTAACTTATCGATGCTCTGTGCATCATGGATTAGCACCGGAAGTGCCTTTGTCTTTAATATTTCAACTTCTTTCCTTGCTGCCTCTGAACTAGCACCAGAGTCGAGCCTTTCGGGCTCTAGAAGATTTGTGATATCTATGATCACCTTTTGAAGAACTATGACTTTATCGATCAACTTCTCCATCAGCAGAACTCCAGCTGCTTTTGTGCCCATAGGTTTTTCATTTGGTTGATTGCTATCACAATACTGGTGAGACATCAAAGACATATCCTGTAAAAACAATATGCTTAGCACGTCGGACATCCAAACTTGTGATTCCAGTTAGCAAGACCAGTAATAAATTGCATGACAATAAGACCGAAAATATTTATATGAGACGACAGGACAATATATTAAGAGGGCAAAAAGAAAATGCACAGGGTCTAGGTTATGCTCTCCTGCAACTAAAAGTTCATATATTTGTATATAACACATCTGGGAGACAAGCCAGCAGCTATCTCCTGAAGAGCAGACAATTATCTGG